CGAGGTGAGCTATTCAATTCACTACGAATTTTCTCAAATTCAAATTTCATTTATAAACTTATCTATCTTATCTATTTTCAAACCTATTTTGCTAGGCGAACTCAGGGTGACTCTCCTGTGTGTTATTTTCTCACCTAATAATATAACATCTACAATAGTAGATCACTTTCTTTCATAGAGTTTGGATCGCGAACGCATCTCCTATGATGATCCTGTACAGACGACTGTGGAAGAACCTGGTTGTGAAAGATTTTTAGTCTACAATTACGAGGTAATTTTAATCAAAATCGTGGAATTCTAACATTTGTAATAGTGAAATTTTAGGTGCGAAGTCTCTCCTTTTTTCGGACTTTACTAGGAACATTGCGGTATTTTCTCAATAGGCTACAAGCTGAACATATGCCTTATCACTTCAATCCCACCGTAATCATACATTCTATGTCTTGTTTTTCTACTGATGTGATGTGAGTTTTGCTCATATTTGATTTTTCTGGATTGCGCTGAAAATTCTATTTACAGACCTGCTCATCTGAATATTCCAATAGCGGCAATTTATTTTGGAAATATTCAGGGTGGTGTGCTTATTAGTCATTGGGAGGTAACTATTTTTTTGCTTAATTCTATGTGAAAGGCCATTACCAATGATAATTCCTCGTGGAAACAAAAACACAAGGATTTCAATTTTTCTTTTTGTATTTCGATTACATACGTGGCTTACGACGCACAAGCATCTTTTTGTAGATTTTGAGAATTATATTAGCCTCATGGAGCGTTCCACCCATCTACGCTTCTTTCTTCAGGTTTCGTACAGAGACAAAGCTGAGGCGGATGAGAGATGGAAAAGTAAAATCAGTGCGGATTTTATGTATGACCAAACTGACATCATTAGTCTCAAGTTTGAAAATCCTGGAGAGTCAAGTGAGTTTGGGAAGTTTTGCATTCATTATTTAGGATTTCCAAACTGGGCTTCGTATTTGTGGTTCATAATTCTCTCCATTGT